TTATTCTGAAAAAAGAATAAATTTGATTTGTTTAAATCAATTTCATTTTCAGATAATACTTATATAATGCAGTAAATATAAATATTTATATTATTATTATTATATTTTAATTATAATTAAAATATAAATATTTTCATTATTACGTGTTAAAAAAAAATAAGTTTTCAAAATTATGCATATATCTACGAAGATAATCAGAACTAAATTGCGAATTTTTATGAAACTAAAATTTATTTAAAATATATAGAAAATATATTACATTATATAATTAAAATAATAAAATTTCAAATTATATACATATAAAACAGAGTGTTCCAAAAAAAAATCGAATAATTTTGATAATATATTACAAGTTTTGTCTATTTTTAATTTATTTTAAAAAATAGATATTTTGTATATAACTAAAATATCTTTTTTAAATTTCTTTTATCAAGATTAGTTTTTTCAATTATTTTTCATGCATTTTTTATTCTTTTTTTTACTCCTGTTGGTTAAAGAAAATGTTAAAAATGAAGATTCTCCTTCTATTCTATATATAGAATCAACATTTTCTTTTATAAATATAAATCTATTTACAATTTCAATAATCATTATTCATTCTAGTAATTATTATTTATAGATTTCATCATAGATTGTTTTTGCATTATATATTATTTATATTAATTTAATCATTTAATTTATTTAAAATTAATAAAAAATAAAAACAATACGCAATACAAATAATATCAGTAAAAATGAAATTATTAGAATAGACGAAGATCCGAATAGATTTATGGACGGAATTTTGAATACTTATTTTGATAAATACAAAATACAAAAAATTATATCTATTCCAGTTATCCAATTTTAAAAATTTATTTTTTAAAATAAATTTTGATTTTTCATACATCTCACTGTTATGCAAACTTCAATATAATAATTATTCAATATAATAATATAATAATTATAATAATATTCAATATAATAATTATCATGGTCAAAGTTTCAATTAATATTCTATAAAGAAATAAAAAAGAACAATGAACACGTGCAAAATATTGCAACAATAAAAATGTGAGTATACTTAAAAAATAAGTTACTGCAATTCTTAACTGTTTATATCTGTTTTCCACGTGACTCGCGTTTTAATGACACGTGCCACGAATATAATTTACTGTTGTTCATGTTAATGACTTTCTCAACGAAAATATAATTTTTGTCTAAGCAAGTTCATAAACGATTGCATCGATTGATTACAGTTATAAGAAGATTTATTGATAGTTTCCTAGTCATTATGGTTTTTGGGAGGAGCTGAATAAGATTAACAACGCAAATTATAGGAAGGATGACAGTAAAACTTTTAGTAATGACAAAAAAAAAAGAAAACGAATTTCAGCACGGTTGAGCAGCCAATGATGGCATTTGACGAAAGTTCTGCATCGGAGAAAGAGAAATAATCCTCTAATAATATGAAATTTCTTAGTGAAACTTCTGAAATAAACTTTGTCGTTGATTTCAGGCGAAGTCATGCAAAACTTTATTAAAAAATTCTCATTGTAACCATTTCGGACTACAAAGTTTCTTATATCTTTATATGTGTTTCTTCTATCTTTATAAGATCCATTATCTGTCTATATATATATTATAATTAAGTATTCTTAAAAAAGAGAAGAAAATCTATTTTTTGAAAAAAATTTATACAAAATGTTGCTCAAACATGTTTATCTATTCAATCTTCATCAATTTAAAATGCTTTTATATAAGATTTATAATTTTAATGAATAAGATTTGATTTTCTTCCTTTTTTTTTTTGTAATAAAACCTTCAAATCAAAATTTTATAAAATAAAATATAAAATCAAGAAGAAAAATCGACATTAATAATTTATATTATTAATAATTTATTATATTCAATTATCTTCTTAACTTCTATTAAATTTTTAATGTTATCATACTTTATAATCATATCGAAATGACCAAATATTTATTATTTAGAAAACATATTTTCATGAATGCACTCCTTCCATGTATAATAAAAAAAAAGAATGAAAGAAAGATAAATATTCAGTAATTCCTAATCTTGCCTTTAAAAAGAAAGATTTTTCTCTTTTTCTTTTATTTTTTTAATGGATACGAAATTATGTTAATTATGAGTATATACATATTCAAATATATATATATGTTCAAACACGGTGTATATTGAGTAGATCGCCACTGGCACTCACTTTTCAACAGGGGGAAGTTTCTCCCCACTATTTTGCTCACACTTTCATTACTACCAAGATATTCAACCGGTGAAGCCATTTTTCTACCATTGCCAGTCTGGTTGGTCTCGGTGAACTTTGATCATCGAATAAAGAAGAACCACGCAGGAGTGAAGAAAGTCGGAGTTCGGAGAAAGAAGAAGCCTGTTTAAAATTATTGAAATCATATCGTGGAAATTATAAAGAAGGATCATCCTTTTTCTTTTCATTTATTCTCGTTTCTTTACTTTCTCGTAAGTATGATAACGAGGATAGAACGCCTTCGAGAAGAAATACTCTGGAAGAATCCAAAGATGCGAACGCAAAGATTTACATGATTTTGAAAGAAACTGAAGAGATTGAGATATCTTTTTCTTTATCAATGTTGATGAAGAATCAATAAAGATATTTATTTGAAGAATAGGGGGGCATTCAGTGTGATTTGATGTCTATCTTTTCTGTGATATTAAACAATATCATATCATTTTAATATCGTTTATAAGAGCGAGGAATAAAAGTTAATGAGTGTACAAAAGATTTAATATTTATTGAAACTGTTTATAGTTTTAATATGTTCGACGAATAATTCGCAAACTATTAGAACTATAATTATTTCTGAATCATTTTTATTGTGTTCAGTGCAAATTTAATTTGAATAATAATGAATCAAACCTCGTATCTCGTCGTTCTTTTTGCATGCTTCGCGATTTGCAGAGTGATTTCTTCAAACGTTTCGGAAAACCCATCACAAAATCCTTTGGTGAATCAACGATTAAGAACTTCAACCGATGAATATAAAATTCAAAATGGAAATTGGACTACATTGTCGGAAACGCTAGATATTTTCAATGTGCGTTATCTTGCCAATAATTGGACGGAAGGGAAATATCCTATTCAAGAGCAATGTGCCAAAGATATTACAAGATATATCGAAGGATTAAGAAAACAAGAAGTATGGGCTTCAAAAGGTATGTTGAATCAATCAAATTTATGTTAAAAAAGGTCATATCTTCGGTAATTAAATCCTTGTACAAATATTTAATAATTAATTATTCATTTGAAACTAATCGTATGTAAACATTTTTCTCTTCTCTCATATATAGGGAGAAGAATATTTATGCGCGCAAAAATTGATTATGCGTATTTTATTATGCGAATAGAAAGTGTCCGAGTTATGGCGAGATGAAATTGCTAGATCTAGGTAATACTTAGTATTAATACGGCACGTGATTTCGTTGATTTTAAATAGAACAACGTTTCGAGATCAAATGTGGGAGAGAAACAAATATAAAAGAAGAGAAAAAAAACGAATTAAAAAAATTTAATATATTAATAAATTAATATCGTTGAACGATTTTTCTAAAAAAAAATCTAAATGATTAAAATTATCTTGGATCAAAGTCCAAATGACTTAATTCACTTTCATTAGGAAGAAAATCGAAAGGTGATAGGTCGTCGCTAGTTGGCAAAAGCTTGTCAGGAACGTCCTTGCTAAAACATATCTTTTGCCTTCCTCTTGGCAGTTCCTCTTGCTTTGCCTACTTTCATCACGAAATTTCACTTTTCACGACACAAAGAACAATCTCGTGACGACTTCTACAACCAATACAGGCTGGATCCGACAACGAATCGCTTTCAATGTTTTACTATCCTCGGTCAATGCCACTTTTCGCAAGATCGTTTGAAGAAACTTCTTTGTTCATTCTTTCGGTCTTTATTTCTATCATTTACGATCGAGTCGAACCTACTTACGTACCACTCCTTATTAGCAAAATGACATATCGTGTTCAGTTGAATTTTCGAAGTTTAAATTTTTCTGGAACAAAATACATTGTGAGATACTGTTTCATCGATTACAAAATATAGAATATCATTCGACGCAATATTACGCAATACTTAAAAATGTGTTTTTTTTATATCGCCCACTTTTTGAATCGCCCTTTTTTGAATATTTTTTCATGGATGGTGAACTTAAAAAATAAATAAAAGGATTAAATGTGTTATACATTACAATGTAAAATAATATTTTCCATTATAAAAGAATAAAAATTTATAATATTGCGTATTTTTTTTAATTATTTAAAATTTATCGATATAATATTAATATAAAATATTGATTAATATAATATATTAATAAAAGAACAGAGAAATAGGATTCGTTCGTTTTATAAAATTCAAAAATAGTTTGCTTTAATATATCTAATTAAATTTTTACGTGAGAAATATATACTTTAGTTCTAATTTTTAATCTTTTATTTATTTCAGCTTTATTCTTTTTCGATATAGAATCAATCTTGTAATTATATTTTTCAAAAATATTATACGAGATTAAAGATTATCAAAAAAAAAAAATAGATTTCAAAAAGTAATAAAATTACTATTTTATTTTAATTAATTATTTTAATAATTATAATGGATTATATATTATTTACTACATTATATACTAAGTATATTATATTTACATTTTATAAAAAGAAATAATAATAATTATGTTTTTTATGTTTCCTAATCTAGATAGAGAGAAATTGTATTACAGAAATGCTATATTATAGTGGGGATTTCCACAATTCTCTAACTGCATTAGAGTGAAATTGTGTTGCAAAAGCATTGTGTTATACAAGAATTATTAATTATATATATTTTTTATTGCGAACAAAAAGTATGCAAGAAATAAATAGAATAAATTCAAAAAAACAACTCGACATTTAAAAAAAAACTTATATAAAACATATATTTCTATAAAAGTTTCGTTATTAAAAGAAAATAAATAATGAAATGAACAAAATTAAAATGAATTTTTTAAAATTATCTTATAAATTCAGGAAAGAGGTAAAAAGTTATTATTTTATTCCAAGTTAATTTAATTGAATGAAAATAAAATTTTATCAATATTCTATTATTCTTTAATTTGTTATTTCCGGTATTCAAGATTTCTGCTTGTTAAATTTTGCCTAATTTAACCAAAGAAAACTCCATGGAACAAATCTCATGACTTTCTCCTCTCATGGAGCCATATTCTCCATTATCATTCTCGGAAGTTCAAATTTATACAATTGTACAGAGAAAGGTGAAAGGAATCATGAGACTGCCACGAGAAAACAATATTAAAAACCGTTATGACATATTCATAATGACACTCATTATCAAGCAATTTATTCTTTCGGATGTGCTTATCTTGATATTTTCGAAAACTCTAATTTTAATGCATTTATTTCTTAGAAACTTCTGCTTTACAATCTGATGATTGAATCAATCATTTTTTATAATCTGTATATAGCAATAATATTTGTAAGACAAAATTAAATAATTTATTGGATTATATTTAATCTAGTCACGTAATCCGTATTTGAATTAAAATTAATTTAAAATTTAGTAAGAAAAATCTAATATGAAATGTAAATGAATGATCGTGATGAAACTTTGTAAAAGGAACGTTTTTCTTTGATGATAATGTGTCACACTGTTTAGTTTCACGACAAGCTTATGGAAGACGTTGGACTTCCGTGAACATCCTTTACGCACAAAAGTAATGTTAGAAAGTTTTAAGGAAGATTCATGCACATAGAAATACGATCGAAGTAGAAACCGCGGCAATTATCGAAATTACGTCATTGGATACAAAAACCGCCCAGAGAAAGGATTACGTGGAAACCAGGCTTGTAAACGTAACTTTCACATAACGTTGCACTTTTCTTCGTTTATTCGTTCTCAATCCTTTATCATTTTGTTTCATGTTCTGCATAAAATAGTAATGATATAACGATTCGCGAATAGTAATTAATAAAGTCCCAGCTCTTTCAATCGTTTCCTAGTTTATGGAGCACACCATTCATGATCTTTACATAGTCTGCTTATATATACACGTTTTTAATGATTACTAAAATTGTCTGTATATATACAACATCAGATTAACACAACATGCTAATAATTAATCTATATTACTTATAAACAACGTGTATATTGGATCTTTTCTCTGGATAAATGTTTTAATCCTAGAAATTATGTAAGCAGATATTTCCTTATGTACTTTCTACATATATATGTTTTATCTCCAAACTGGTTTTCTTCTACATAAGTGAAACACGTTTTATACATGTGATTATTTTATAGGAAGAAGAATTTCCGTCAATAAAAATTCCACCCT